AAGGCACTTTGTATTGTAAGGTAAAGATCCTACAATAATACAAAGAAAACAGAAAAAACCCAGCACTCATATGGCCTCCTGTGAGCAAGCGCTTGGGCAGCACTAGGAAGGAAAAACTGGAAGGAGGACGAAACCTCCAGCAGAACCAGACTCAGGGAGGGGCGTCCATCTGCCACAGCTGGCTGGGGTTGAGGGACAAAGGCAGGACAAAGACTGTGGAAGACAGCTAGAGATTAATATAGGTTTATAAATACATATTGAGTGAAAAAGGTGACTATTATATACTCTAAATTAATCTCTGTTTAACAATATGCTGTAGACACCTATGAGGGAATTCTTAGCCTGGGTTAAACGTGACCTGAGCCAGACTGTGAAGACATGAAATATGAACAGTATGTAATGGTTAAAAGCACACAGAGCAGTCTCTGTATTTAATGTCCTCCGCTCTTTGTCTGCAGCTTCCCACGGACTCACAGATGAACAGAAGGAGTTTCAAAAAGTGGCCTTTGACTTTGCAGCCAATGAAATGGCCCCACACATGGCGGAGTGGGACCAAAAGGTATGAGCTAGGAGGCTTAAAACACTGTTATTAATCAAACGTGAAAGCAACAGATGTGAGGGGGTCAAAACCATGTTTGCTCATATAAAGGCAATCTTTTGTATCAATCCAAAGTCCTGATCAGGAGAAAAAAAACAAAATAAAAATAAGTATTAGGCAGTAAGTAACTAGTAACAGCATTAGGCGGGGTGTGCTAATGGTTAGATGTTTCTTCCCCACTCAGGAAATCTTTCCAGTGGAGACGATGCGTAAAGCGGCCCAGCTGGGTTTCGGTGGGATTTACGTTCAGCCAGATGTCGGAGGATCTGGCCTTTCTCGGCTGGACACGTCGATCATCTTTGAGGCTTTGTCCACGGGATGTGTGAGCACCACAGCCTACATCAGCATCCACAAGTATGAATAATAAGATTATTTTGGTTGGGAGCATTTTTAAAAGGCACCATATTTACAGCAGGTGTCAGTTTGTCTGGATTATACATACAGGAAGATGGGTACACTGTGGCCATGAAGGGATGAACATGGTCGGTAACAATACTCAGGTTCACTTTAGCATTTAAATAATTGGTACTTCAGCAGGCTGAACTGTTAATACAAGGCAGGATGGATCCATGCTTTCATGTTGTTCATGTCAAATGTTGAAGCTGAAATCGAGACTCAACAGACCAGGCAACATATCTCTATTATCCAATTTTGGTGAACTCGTGCGAATCTTAGCCTCAGTTTGCTGTACTTAGCTGACAGGAGTGGTACTCTGTGTACTCAGACCAGCACGTATTGTACCAACACCATCATTAAATCACATTTCTTCCATTCTGATGCTCAGTATGAACATCACTGGGTCGACTCGACTGTGTCTTCATGTCTAAATGCACTGAGTTGCTGTCATGTGATTGGCTGATCAGATATTTGTGTTAACAAACAGTTGAAGTGGTGTGCCTAACAAAGTGGCCAGTGAGTGTATGTTATTTATTTATTTGCATGTTAATCTCCTCTGTCCTCCTTATCTTTGCAGCATGTGTGCCTGGATGATAGACAGCTATGGCAATAAAGAGCAAAGGGAAAAGTTTTGTCCTGATCTCTGTTCTATGGAGAAGTTTGCCTCCTATTGTCTCACTGAACCAGGTGAGTCTGCATGCGAAAAGACAGCAGAGTTCTTTGTGTAAAATTATTCACAGCTGTCTATGTGAGAAATT